GAAGTGGCGCTGTGGCTCAAGTGGTAGAGCGCTAGCCTTGAGCTGAAGAGCTGAGGGACAGCGCCCAGACCCAGAGTTCAGGTCCCACAACCAGACTTCCCCCCCCCCAAAAAAAGAACTATTGTTCACTTACCATATACATACTTATAAGAAATATTTCCAAAGGAAAAAAGCTAAGGATTTGGTACAAAAACTCAAATATACAAGGATGTAAAGCTCTTAAGACACTTTCTTGAAATAAATTATTCAAAATGTCAATTATGTATAACAACAGTTACAGGGCTTTCATTCATACCATAATCCTTGCTTGTTTTCTTGCTCCAATATCAAGTAGTACTCATAAATTCATTTACCAGGAAAGAGTATCTTTCTCTCATTAATAGCATAGTATTTTTTAAAATTTTATTATCTTTAAGTTGTTGTACAAAGGTGTTTAAATTCAGCATGTCAGTTTATTAGATTCTAATATATCTTTTTGTATGTTTATGTGCTGGTCCTGAGGCTTGAACTCAGGGTCTGAGCGCTGTCCCGGGGCTTTTAATGCTCAAAGCTAGCACGCTACCATTTAAGCCACAGCTCTACTTCCAGCATTTTTTGGTAGTCAATTGGAGATAAGAGGCTCATGGGCATTTCTGCCAGGACTGGTTTGGAAACACCCAATCCTCAGCTTTTAACCTACTAAGTAGCTAGAATTACAGGTGTAAGCCACTGGTGCCAAGCTGAGTATAATGCATCTTAATCAATGTCACCCTTCCCATCATTCTCCCCAACTTCACCCATCTACCTAAGTTACTTGATTTCATTTTCACATATATATGATGATTATTACAACTGTATTCACCCACTCTTCCTCTCTCCATTCATTTGTCCTCCTGTTTGACCTCTTGTAGCCCCACTATCATGTTTCAGCTTCCTGCTATTCATTTTGTTAAACTATAGTTATTCAAACACAAAATGTTAATAGACCCCATATCTCAACCACTAAGGGGGATGTATCCCAGGTATGTAAAAGGCATAAGGATTAGTCATCTGGGCCACCCAGAATGTAAACTACTGATGCTAGCTGAAAAGTAATTAAAGCATAAAGGGCTGGAAGCATGGCTCAGTAATAGATTAAATTCAAACTCCAGAGCTGAAAAATTTTAAAAAAAGGAGCTTTTGTACATTATGGAATGAAAAAGAAAATCTTTGTAAATCACTTGTTAAGGAATAGTATTCAAAATATACAAGGAACTTATACAACTCAATAAAAATGCAACCCAGTTAAAAATGGGCAATTGGTCAAACACCAGTGTCTCATGCCTGTAATCCTGGAGCCTGAGATCTGAGGATTGCAGTTCTAATCAAGCTAAGGCAGGAAAGTCTATTTGATTCTTATCTCCAACTAGCCACCAAAAAGCCAGAAGTAAAGCTGTGGCTCAAGTGGTACGACTTTATCCTTGAGCAAAAAAGCTTAGGGGCAGAGTCCAGGCCCTAAGTCCAAGTCCCAAGACCAGAAAAAAGGGAAATTGCTAGGCATCACAGGCTCATGACTGTAATCTTAGCTACTAAGGAGGTTGAGATCTGAGGATTGCAATTCAAATCCAGTCCAAGCAGGAAAGTCTGTGATACTCTTTTTTTTTTTTTTTTTGGTCCAGTCGTGGGGCTTGAATTCTGGGCCTGGGCACTGTCCCTCAGCAATTTAGCTCAAGGCTAACTCTCTACCACTTGAGCCACAGCGCCACTTCCGGCTTTTTTCTTTTTGCTTATGTGGTGCTGAGGAACCGAACCCAGGGCCTCATGCATACAAGGCAAGCGCTCTACCACTGAGCCGCCTTCCCAGAGTTCAGGCCCCACAACCGGACCCCCAAAAAAAACAATGCTTCAGCCAATAAAATATATGAACATATATGCACACATGTACTTGAACACACAATGGTCAACAGCAAAGATGTTCAAGATCATTAAGAAAATGAAAACTTCCACCAGGCATTATTAATGGTCTACATCTGTAATCGTAGCTACTCAGGAGGCTGAGACTTGAGGATCACAATTTGATGTCAGCCTGGGCAGGAAAGTACATGAAACTCATCTCCAACAGAAAAAGCCAGAAGTGGTGCCGTTGCTCAAGTGGTAGTAACATCAGCCTTGAGCACAAAAAGGCTCAGAAATAGTGATCAGACCCTGAGGATGGGGGGAAGGAGAATGATAACAAATGTTGGCCAAGTATGCTCCTCCCACATATCTGCTTGTAAGAATTGAGAAATTGGGTTGTAGGCCTGATTAAAGTGATAGGACATCTGCTTATCAAGTGTGAGGCTCTAGGTTCAAAGGCCAGAACAGCTCCCACAAAAGAGAAAAGTCCTAAAATTTTTCATGTATGCAAATGTTCTAAAATATGAAACAACCCAAATTGTGCTAAGTGAAAAAAGGCAGTCTGTTATAGTTTAGAAAATATTCCAAACAGGTAAACCCATGGATAAGAAAAGTAGATTTAAACTGGTTTTGAACAAGGCTGAAAATGAGGAGTAGGGTTTTGTTCTTCAGGGATTTTTTGTTTTTTGGGTTTTTTTTTTGGGGGGGGGGTTGTTTTGTGTATGTGTGCTGGGGCCTGGGCTGAATTCAGGGTCTGGGCCTTTTGCTCAAGGCTAGCACTAGCACTTGAGCTGTAGCTTTACTTCTAGCTTTTTAGTGGTTAATTGGAGAAAAGTCTAATGGACCTTCCTGTCTGGGCTGGCTTTGACTCTTCATACTCAAATCTCAGCCTTCTCAGTAGCTAGGATTATAGTACCAGGCTAGGTATGGGATTCTTACTGAGGTGATAACATTATCCTGAAATGAGATGATGAAAATTGCACAACTTTATGAATTTATAAAATTATTGAAATGTTCATATTAATTGAGAAAATTTCATGGAAAATTAGTTATATCTTAAAAAGAATGGAACAGAGAAATTAACAATAAGATGCAAAAAAACCCTCTAGAAGTTTCAAATATTTGACACAGAAATCTAATAATTGTTGTACAAGTATTCCTTTATAAGTTATTGTTGTTCAAAACCAGAACTCAAACCAGTTATCTGACACTTCTGTTCTTTGGCTGATGTATCACCTGAGCTATACTTCCAACTCTAACAGTAGATACTCTAAAAATATCTGAAATAACATACTTAAAAGCTGAAAAGCATTAAAACTATGGAAAGATTTTTAAAAGGCTGGCAACAAGCAATGTTTTCTTAAAGTATTTTCTTGCTTTTTGGGGGGTTGGTCGTGGGGCTTGAATTCTGGGCCTGACTGCCATCCGTGAGCTCTTCAGCTCAAGGCTAGCGCTCTACCACTTGAGCCACAGTGCCACTTCCAGTTTTCTGGTGATGTTAATTAGAGATAAGAGTTTCATGTACTTTCCTGCCTGGGCTGGTTTTGAACTGTAATCCTCAGACATCAGCCTCCTGAGTAGCTAGGGTTACCAGCATGAGCCACCGGCGCCCAGATCTTTTCTTGCATTGTTGACAGCAGCATTTGATACCAAAGCATTAAAGATTTCCATAATTCAAAGTAACTCTAAAATCCAAGTACTAAGAAATTATTACTTGAATAGTTGATAATGCCAATCTGCTTTATATTTAGTTCAACAAATTGGACTGAGCAGTTTTATATAGTTGTTTTAATGTTCCATATGCAATTTTGTTTTCTGAATACTTAAGAACAGTATTTCTTCAAATTAATACTGATAAAGTACCAGTTTGTTTGAGGACAATACTTGTGTCAAATATTGTAATAAAGATTATACATATGTGTAAATATATGCAATATCTAATTTTACAAAATTTTTAAAGTCTTATCTTCAAAGAAACTTAAGACCACACAAATATTAACATACAATTCTATCAATCTGAAGGAAGAATGTTTATAAATTAGTCACAGTTCAGAGTAATGAACTTTAGCCTTTAAGAATTTGTAATACTTTAGCCAGATGCCAATGGTTCACACCTGTAATCACAGCTATTTAGGAGGCTGAGATTGCAGATTTGGATTGGAGGTCAGGCCCAGCAAACACTTGAGATCTCTTCTCAACAAATATCCAGGCACAGTAGCATGCAACTGTACACTAGGCTAAGACTGAGTGGGTCACAGGTCCAGGCCAACACAAGCAGAATCTTCAAGATAGTATCTCAATTGATAAAAAGAGGGTCATATTTTCAGGAGCCTTAGCTACAAAGAGAATATATATATAGGCAAAAGACTGTCTAAGTACACACCCAGGCAAGAAGCAAGACTCTATTTGAGCAAGGTTCACAGTAAGCATAATCTTGTAAGCATATCTAGTAAGCATAAGGCTAAGTACAAATCCCTGTATCACAAGCAAAAGACACAAGAACTTTTGTTCCATTAAAAATTTATGAAATTCTGTGTTTTTTACTACATGCCTCAATCTCCTTTATTACAATGATTTAGCCAAAACTACACTTTGCTAAAATGAAAATGCTCAAATGAGGTAACTAGTAAACCAGTAAAAACAGTGAATTTTCACTTACCACAGTCCAAGATTCCTGATCTTTAGGCTCTAGAATTGCAGAGTTAAAAATTTCTAGTAATTGTTGAAGCCCCCCAGCAGCAACAAACTGTAAGGAATTATAACAAAATTATTAAGAAAAGCTATTAATGTTATTATAACTTGGGTACTGATACAGTTAAGTGAATAGTCATAAAATATAGTATATTTCTATTTATTTGGATGGGGGAGCACTAGTACTCAGGCTTGAACTTACCGTACGGCCTCAAGAGCTTGCTTGGCTTATTACCTGAAGTATTATCTCCAGTCCAAGATTTTGCACTTGGACTGGCTTTGAATTCAAGATTCTGCTTAGGATATTACTTTCTTTCAATCATCAAGGTAACTTTGACATAAAATGGTAACATAAAGCTTACTCCCAAAAATAATTTAAAAATATTCTTCTAAGGCTATAGACATGTATTTGTATCTTATTAGCCATTTAATACTACACTGAAATGTGTAATGCAGTAATTCAAAGAGGAATGAAGAGTATTAGTGTTAAAAACAGGAACACTAAGGTATTAATAAGGCGCTAGACATCCTGTCTAGCACCCACCTCATTTTTCTTATGAATGTTTTCTTAATCAATGTTTCTCCTGAAAGAATTAAAACAAAAACAAAAACCAGATGTATTTTTGTGATTAGAGCAAAGAATAATTTTTGAACTATGTTTTAATAGTAATTTCATTTAAAGTAATTACTTATAGAAGCCAGTTTGGGGAAAATGTGGATACTTTATTTTTACCAATATATCACATAAAGCATGACCATACCTTGCAACTCCAGGAATTTTTACTATTTTCCACCTGATCCTCACTTGAATCATCAGAATCTGGATAAAGGTCACTGTAACTTCCCTGATGGAAAGACAAAAACAAAAAATAACAAGTGTGGATAGTAAAAAAAAAAAATTATTCTAGAATGAAAAGATAATACTCTCTAGCTTTCTGAAGATAATACAAAAACTTAATGATAATAGTGGAACTGAAATTACCGTTGACTCTCTCCTGATTCTTCTGTTAGGTTTTCCCAGGGCTTCAATAATTTCCAGTGCATATAAGAGTTTATGAGCACTTTTAATTTTGAGAAGTTCCTTCCAATTAAGTCCATCATTACTCTTAAATTAAAAAAAGAAAAACAGGTTTCTCAAGCCAAATTACAAAAGCAATGCAAGAGAGAACATACAGAAAGAAATAGGAGATTAACACAGAAATAACATAAACATATAAAGACTATACTTAGCACGAACAGCAGCCTTAAGATGCAATATTTTTATTTGTCCATTTATTTATGTAGATGCTAGTACCTGGGATTGAACTCAGGTGTGGAAGCTATCTCTTAACTCAAGGCTGGTTCTCTACCACTTGAGCCAACTCTACTTCCAACTTTTTGTTGGTTAATTGGAGATAAAAATCTCAGACTTTTCTACTCTGGCTGGCTTTGAATTCAGATCCTCAGATCTCAGCTGTTTGAGTAGATTTAAGACTACAGTTATAAACCACTAGCATCCCAGCTAAAAACATTTATTAAATTTTAAACCAATGCTTAAACCAATAAAATGCAGAAACAGCAGAATGCCAAACACAATTTCTACTTTCAATTTATGAAATGTTATTTTTCATGACGTACTTCTTTCAAATGTTATAAGTAGAGCTACTACTAAATCGCTAGTGCTCAACCACTTTAGTCACAGTACCACTTATAGTGTTTTGATATTTAATTGGAGATACAAGTCTTAAAAGCTTTCCTGCCCAGGCTGGCTTTAAACTAACATTCTCAGATCTCAGCCTCCTGAGTAGCTAGAATTACAAGCCTGAACCACAGATTACAGCCCAGATTACAGCCCCATCATTTTAGCTTCCAAACAAAACATTAGCGATATAATATCTCTAAAATAGTGCAATAGGGTCCCAAATCATAGATAACATGTAGCATAACACTAGAATACTTGTTTTCCATTTATTCCACAAGACTCTACTAGCTATGCACAAAGAATCCCCTCATTAGATAGAGCATTTATTAATAATTAAAAAAAAACATCTTTACAAAAGGAACAAAATTTACAATATGTGATGGGATTGTATTCTAATTAGTAATTGACTAATTTTCCCATACTTTTTTTTTTTTTGGGTCCGGTCGTGGGGCCTGATCTCTGGGCCTGGGCACTGTCCCTCAGCTCTTCAGCTCACAAGGCTAACACTCTACCACTTGAGCCACAGCACCACTTCCGGCTTTTTTCATTTTGCTTATGTGGTGCTGAGGAATCGAACCCAGGGCCTTGAGCATGCAAGGCAAGCGCTCTACCACTGAGCCACCTTCCCAGCCCCCCAGCTTTTTTTCTTTTTGCTTATGTGGTGCTGAGGAATCGAACCCACGGTCTCATGTATGCAAGGCAAGCACTCTACCACTGATTCACCTTCCCAGCCCCTCCCATACTTCTTTTAGTCAGCTTGCATATGGTTCTAATAAGCATTCCACCAAAGTTTGTTTTTAGCTACATACTACTTTGTGTGTCAAAAACATATTCAAACCATTTAATTAAGCTGGGTGCTGGTGGGTCACACCTGTAGCCCTAACTACTCAGGAGGCTGATATCTGAGGATCTCGGTTCAAACCCAGCTGAGCCAGGAAAGTTCATGAAACCCTTATTGCCAATTACATTAAAAAAAAAAAAAAAAGGCCAGAAGTAAAGCTGTGGTTCAGTGGTAGATTATTAGCCTTGAGCGGACAGTGTCTAGGCCTTAAGTTCAAGCCCCAGGACTAGCACCAAAAATAAAAAAAAAACAAATCCTTTGTAATGCAATTAACTTATGTGACCCAAGTTCACTAAATAAGCAAACTACAACAAACAAGATGGTCATTACATTCAAATTCACGAATACTATGAGTCAACAAATGATCTTATACACTGCCAGTAGGAATGTAAAATAATAACTTTCTTCCAAACATTAGAAAAAGTTTTACAAGCTCACCTGTTCATCTGAGATATTTTGGAATGCCATCAGCATATTTGGACACGTAGGAAGAAGCATCAGCAGCTCCCAGACACGCCTAGATAGATTTTCTGCATGAAGATGAAGTTCCTCACATCTTAAGCTCTACACAAATAAGAACAATTGCTTTATCAATACAGATCATGAAAAAAATTACTTCTGCATAAAAATCATTATCAAATTGTTAATTTTCTAGCCCAACATTTTAAATATCTGAAATTTGCTACATGTTAAATAAAATGCATTCAAGAAAACGAAGTCATATAAAAACAGCACTTTTTCAATATCTTATGAATTTAGTGTTTAGAACAGTATTCCACAAAGGTTAAGCACTTTCCTTAGAAAAGTTTTCAAACAAGTGAAATCATCTATTTCATAAGGCCATTCACCTATTTCTAGAATTTCTAGACCATCACCTATTTCTTCTTTGTAGATCACTAGTATAACCCACAAACGATATGTGGGTAAATTAAATTTCTTGACCTGGATTTGTGAGCTAAGATTAGATGAAAACAAACAATTTTAAAGAACCACTTGTTGTCATTAAAACCAGTAAGTCAGTAAGTAGGTAAGCCAGGTGGTAAAACAAGAGTTAAAAAAAAAAAGTTTCAGAAGTCACATATGAAAAAAACAAAGAAGTGTCCTTCCTTGCCCAAAGGGGTAACAAATAGCAAAAGATAACATTTACAGTTAACAGTTTTGGTATTTCCCAATGAGCATAAATTTATTATTATATTACCATTAGTACTGAAATAATGATATTTTAGTATAATACACACTAAAAGATGCTAATGTAGCCAGGCGCAGGTGGCTCACATTTGTAATCCTAGCTACTCAGGAGGCTGAGATCTGAAGACCATGGTTCAAAGCCAGCCTAGGCAGGGAAGTTCGAGAGACTCTTATCTCCAATTAACTACCAGAAAACCAAAAGTGGTGCTATGGCTCAAGTGGTAGAGCCTTGATCTGAAGAGCTCAGTGACAGCGCCCAGAGTTTAAGCCTCATGACTGACAAAAAAAAGATACGAAAGAATTATTAATATCTATAAAGAGCAACTAAGTTATTTTGGCATAATAGTTTTATAAAGATAGTGTATAGTCATCCCTCTGTTAACTGTGGAGACTATACACAGATACCAAAATCTCCAAGTGCTCATGACCCTTAATATAAAAGCATGTAACAAAGCTAGACATGGCAGCACACACCTAATAATCCCATCACTTAGCAGTTTGAAGCAGGAGGACCTTGGCTATACAGGAGGACCCTGTATAGCCAGGGCTATACAGCAAAACCCTGTCTCCAAATATAAAACAAAAACAAAAATAGTATAGCATAAAATCTCTATACATTGTCCCATACACATTGAATCATTACAATATATAATACAATATACATACTTTTTTTTTTTTTGGTCAGTCTTGGGGCTTGAACTCTGGGCCTGGGCGCTGTCCCTCAGCTCTTCAACTCAAGGCAAGTGCTCTACCACTTGGGCCATAACGCTATTTCCTGTTTTCTGGTGGTTTACTGGAGATAAGAGTCTCATGGACTTTCTTGCCCAGGCTGGCTTTGAACCTTGATCCTCAGATCTCAGCCTCCTGAGGATTATAGGTGTGAGCCACCAGCGCCCAGCCAATATAAATACCTTTACACTACATAATGCTTAAGAGGTCAGTGACAGAGCAAAAAATCTATGCGTTCAACATAGATCCCATATACTTTTTCAAATATTTCCACTTGTTAGTTGGGTCAATCTGTGAATGTAGAATCCATTTATATGTAGGACTAGCTACACATGAAAGGCAAGAAAATTTTAGAACAGGAGTTTTAAGGTGAATTTGACCTTTCACAGGCCTGATGAAACTCAAGCAATACCTCAGTATTACTCTTTGGACTTATGAAAGTTCCTCCCTAAAACAAGTCTACCCCTTTGTTAACATATTTCTTTAAAAACATTTTCAAAAGAAAGTGAGACTAAACTACAAACCAGAAAAGATTCTGAAGGAATGCATAATTAGGTTGTGCATTCATTGAAAGGTCTTACAGTATGATTACACACATTAAGTGTCCTGTAGATCGATAGATCCTTCTGCATGAAATGTTTTTCTTCAGGTTTAGGCCGTAGTCGAATTATCACAAAGGCTTATTACCCGGTCCTATTACTTTGGGTCTTTATTTTCTCTAATGAATCTTCCCTGTTAACACCACCTAAGGTTTATCTCTTCAAAGCTACTACAAAAAATCTCATACTCTCACCAATTCACATAATGTCCTCTGAAGTACTGAGATAATCTATACAACTTCTCATTCTGTTACAACATCTGAATTACTCTATCTACACTGATGTTTTACAAATATATCATTTGCCTTTCTGTAAATCTGTAATACCTTATCTTATCCTACCAACAGTAGGTATATTCTGGAATTCTAAGCTTGAGAAAAAGTCTCATATTATGCTTATGCTAGCTTCAAACCGTAATCCTCTGGAACTCAGATTTTCATGTAGCTAGAGTTATAGACATGAAGACTTGTGTCAACCTTATCTATTATAAAATACAATGCTAGGGGCTGGGAAGGTGGCTCAGTGGTAGAGCGCTTGCCTTGCATGCTCAAGACCCTGGGTTCGATTCCTCAGCACCACATAAGCAAACAGAAAAAAGCCGGAAGTGGTGCTGTGGCTCAAGTGGTAGAGCGCTAGCCTTGAGCTGAAGAGCTGAGGGACAGCGCCCAGGCCCAGAGTTCAGGCCCCACGACCGGACCCAAAAAAATAAATAAAAAAATAAAATACAATGCCAACATAGAAAAAAAAAAGAATTTAGTATTTGTGGCATAAAAAACATCAGTAAACAAGACAAGTGCCACTTATAGGTTATTCCACATGAACAAAAGGACAATTTCTTAAAAATGTATTCCAAGAGAAACAAGTGGATAAGAGGCCTCAGTAACTACAATCATGATCAAACAAATCAAGAGAAACATGGAAGATTAGTGAACATTTTAAAAGTAAAAGAGCAGTACCATAACAAGGAAAATTTTAGCTGCACAACAATACTTAGTAGTCTCACAACAATACTTAGTAGTAGATTGTCATTTATTAGATAAGAAATGGGAAAGAACAAGATCTTAGGATAAGTCCTTTTCAAAATGCCAGCACCGAGGCTTACATGTATAATCTCAGCTACTTGGGAGGCTGAGATCTGAGGACCATGACTTGAAGCCAACCCGTACAAAAAAGTCCTTGAAACTCTTTTTTTTTTTTTTTTTTTGGGGGGGGTGGTGGTCCGGTCGTGGGGCCTGAACTCTGGGCCTGGGCACTGTCCTTCAGCTCTTCAGCTCAAGGCTAGCACTCTACCACTTGAGCCACTTGCTTATGTGGTGCTGAGGAATCGAACCCAGGGCTTCATGCATGCAAGGCAAGCGCTCTACAACTGAGCCACCTTCCCAGTCCCCCTTGAAACTCCTATCTCAATTAACCTGCAAAAAAGAGGGAAGTAGGTGAGGTCCAATTAGCAGAGGGACAGTCTTGAGAGAAAAAACTAAGGAAGAGCTTGAGGCTCCTCCCAGTATAAGAACAAAAAGAAAAAAAGTCAGTGACTCACACCTGTAATCCTAGCTACCTCAAGAGGCTGAGATCTGAGAATTGTGGTTTGAAGCCAGCCCATGCAGAAAAGTCCATGAAACTCTTATCTCCAATAAACGACTGAGAAAACACTGGAAGTGGTGCTGTGGCTCAAGTAGAACACTAGCTTTAAGTGAAAAGACTCTCTGGAACAGTGCCTGGGCCCTGAATTCAAGCCCCAGGACTGGCCAAAAAAAAAAAAAGGGAAATAATTTCTAGCCAGGTATGTTGAAGTATGCCAGTAAGCCTAGCATTTGTAAGGGCTAGGCAAGAAGGTTATAAATTCATGAAAAGCCTGAGCAAAAAAGTGAGATCTCATTTCAAAAGAAAAATTTAACAACCACCAAAAAACGAAACAAAAATACTAACTCACAAGTCTACTTCAGAGAACCTCTTCTGAGATGAATTAATATTCCTCGAGCATCCATACTTTATCCCAAATGGAATTCACCTAAAGTTATTCATTCAGAAAACCAATACCAGCTGGGTGAGCACTGTTGCCTGATGTCTACTAGCTACTCAGAGGCTGAGATCTGAGAATCACAATTCAAAGACAGACCATGGAAGAAAGTCCATGAGACTCTTATTCTCCAATTAACCATCAGAAAACCAGAAGTACAGCTAGGGCTCAAAGAAGTACAGCATTAGCTTTAAGCAAAAGAAGCTCAGGGTCAGTACTAAGGCCTTGAGTTTAAGCCCCATGACCAGCAAAACAACAACAACCCCATTCCATTCCTGTTTAACATCTTGAATCCTCATTTCTCCTCTACCTCTCAATCTACTACCAATTAACTTTGTTTTTGCCTGCTTTTCACTGTATTTCCACTGCCACGATCCAATTCTTGGGCACGGTCAACTCATTCCTGTACTTATGAAATTTGTTACTACCTTTGATATTGTTGCAAGCAAATTAATGAAAACTCAGAACATGTGAATCTACCTCTGCTTAAGATCCTTTCATTTTAGTTAAAAGTAAAATGGAAAACTGCTTGTAGGACCCACAAGACAAATATATTTCACTTTGCTTATCTTTTCAATCTCATCCTTCTCAATTCTATTCATTTCCAATTACCCTCCATGTTTTTCTAATTATCTCCCCCTCCCCCCCCAGTTCTGGGGCCTAGATGCTATCTCTGACCATTTTGGTTTAAAGCTAGTACTCTATGACTTGAGCCAAAGACCCACTTTCAGCTTTTTTTGGTGCTTAATTGGAGATAGTCTTACAGCACTTCCTGTAAGAGCTGGCTTTCAAATGCAATCTCCTGATCTCAGTCTCCTGAGCAGGTAGAATGTAGTTATAAGCAATAGGTACCCAGTTCATAACACCTTTATATATTATGGTATTTAAGAATAAAATTGCTGGGCTGGGATGTAGCTCAGTGGCAAAGCGCTTGCCTACTAAGTGCAACGTCCTGGGTTCGATCCCCAGTAACAAACAAACAAACAAAAGACAAAAAGAATAAAATTGCTGCTGGATATGGTGGTATATGCACTCAGAAAGCTGAGTCAGAAGGATCATAAGCTCACGACTAGCACTGGCTTACATAGTAAAACCTTAATTAAACAAAACATTAGAATGCGATATACAGATCACTTCTCCTTTTCAATTAGCTCAGGCTACAGAGTCTCATAGAAACCTTCTCACATCAAAAAATTCACAAATTGTTTCTTTTTTTTTGGGTCCGGTCAGGGGCCTGAACTCTGGGCTTGGGCACTGTCCCTCAGCTCTTCAGCTCAAGGCTAGCGCTCTATCACTTGAGCCACAGCGCCACTTTCGGCTTTTTTCTTACGTGGTACTGAGGAATCGAACCCAGGGCCTCAGGCATGCAAGGCAAGGGCTCTACCACTGAGCCTACTTCCCAGCCCCAAAATTAAGCTTTTTTTTTAGAGGGGAGTACGATCATGGGGCCGGAACTCTAGGCCTGGGCGCTGTCCCTCAGCTCTTCAGCTCAAGGCTAGCACGCTACCACTTGAGCCATAGCACCACTTCCGGCTTTTTTTTCTGCTTCTATGGTGCTGAGGAATCGAACCCAGGGCCTCATGCATGAGAGGCAAGCGCTCTACCACTGCGCCACCTTCCCAGCCTCCAAATTATTTCTTATATCTATCTATACTGCTCTAACAATATTATGACAGGTTTCAGTTTAGCATTTATTTCTATACTGTACTGCCACACAGTTAGTTTACTTGAAACAGTAAATTTCCATTATCAATGTCTCCCACACGGGATTTGACAAAGGGTGAAAATGGAACTATTTTGACCATCCTGTAAAACAATACTTTGTAAAAATGGCATTTAAAAAAAATGAAACAACTAACTCCAGTCTGCCAAAGATCAAATGGGACAGGACCATATGCTGAGTTAAAGCCTCAAAATGGGCACATGCATGTGCACATGTACACACATGTATACACACACACACACACACTTACAAACAGTATTTCTGAATCACATTAAACACTTAAAAGTTAACCGATAATTAATCTGGTTCCTAGACTTCCTCTTTAAGATGTTCCTAAGAACATTATTTTTCTCTCAACCTAAAGATGAGACAAGATTTGTAGAAAAGAAATCTAATAGAGTCACCTCACTATCATCCACTGCCACTTTTCCTGAGGGCGGTTTGAATGTTGCAAGCATTTCTAGCAAATCAAATAGAGTAGTTAAGTGAGGCTCTTGTAAAAGCAAAAGCATTGGAATGTTGTCCTTCTGAGGGGGTGGCAAGCAAGATGCAGGTAGTTGAACACCTTCCCCTTTTCGTTCTCTTCTTGGTGCACCCAAAGATACAAACACCATCTAAAAAAAAGAGGAGAAATAGGGGGAAAAGTTACACTTATCAAGTTTTTCTTCAATAAATCAACTAAATAACCTTCCTTAAAATTTTAATGTAAGGGGCTAGGGATGTGGCTTAGTGGTAGAGTACTTGCTTAGCATATATAAAACTCTAGGTTCAATTCCTCAGTAACACATAAACAGAAAAATCTGGAAGTGGCACTGTGGCTCAAGTGGTAGATTGCTAGCCTTGAGCAAAAGAAGCTCAGGAACAGTGTCTAGGCCCTGAGTTCAAGCCCAGGACTAGAAAAAAAATTAATATAAGTAGTAAGAACTACATTTAAAATAAAAGACTTTTGATTATTAAATTATGGACAGATAATTGAAATTAAATTACAATTTATTTATGTACCTGCATATCCTTAAAACCAAGCTCATGAAGTGCTTTTTCATCATAATCTGTTGTTAACTCATGTCCAGATGAAATCATCCTGACAGGTCCCATGAGGCCACCTTAAAAATAGAAAAAGTAAATTTTTTATAAGTTAATTTACTTGATAAAAAGAAAAGATAGGTAGAGTGAATAAACCCCATGTATATTAACCATAAGGATAGTTCTTGAAGAGTATTATACTTGAGGCAAGTGGATATAGTACTACCATATTCATATATTTTATAATTACCTTTTTTCTGCAGATTAGTAAGAAAATTAGAAAAAAATAAATATGTTCTAGAAAGATTTTGTTTTTTTCATCAATTTCCCTTTGTTAGAATTGCTGTGTAACTATTCCTTTACCATTATTTCTAAGTCCCACTTTTTACTTACTAAAATAACCAAATATATCATTGCTGATCTTAGCAGTATTAAAATATTAATGACCTGGGTCTGGGAAGATGGCTCGGGGTAGAGTGCTTGCCTTGCATGCGTGAGGCCCTGGGTTTGATTCCTCAGCACCACATAAGCAGAAAAACTCGGAAGTAGCACTGCAGCTCAAGTGGTAGAGTGCTAGCCTTGAGCTGAAGAGCTCAGGGACAGCGCCCAGGCCCAGAGTTCAGGCCCCACAACCAACAGAAAAACAAACAAACAATAAAATATTAATGATCACCGGGCACTGGTGGATCACACCTGTAATCCTAGCTACTCAGGAGGCTAAGATCTGAGAATCGCGGTTCAAAGCCAGCCCGGGCAGGAAAAGTCTTATCTCCAATAAACCACCGGAAAAAACCGGAAGTGGCACTGTAGCTCAAGTGGTAGAGCGCTAGCCTTGAGCTGAAGAGCTGAGGGACAGGGCTCTGGCGCAGAATTCAAGCCCCACAACCGACCAAAAAAATAAATAAATAAAAGTAAAAGAATAAAATAAAATATTAATGATCAGGGCTGGGAACATTGCTTAGTGGTAGAGTGCTTGCCTAGCATGCATGAAGCCCTGGGTTCGATTCCTCAGTATCACATAAACAGAAAAAGCTGGAAGTGGAGCTGTGGCTCAACTGGTAGAATGCTAGTCTTGAGCAAAAGAAGTCCAGGGGCAGTGCCCAGACCTTGAGTTCAAGCTCTAGGACTGGCAAAAAATCATCATCATCATAATCATCAATCAGACAATATAAGTTGGGTACCAGTAGCTCATATGCATAATCCTATCTACTTGGAAGGGTGAGACTACCTATTTTAGACCAGCCCAGGTAGAAAAGTTCACGAGTCCCTCTTCTCAACCTTAGCAGGCACATTGCCATACCTGTTATTGGGAGGCTGAGACTGGGAGGACCTTAATGGAGGTAACCTGAATATACTGGCACTCCTTGTCAGTAAAGCAACTATGAAAGCCTAAAATAAGCTACTGTGGTCCAGGTACTCATTGCAGGAAAGAACATTCATCTTAAAATAACCAACAAAGAACAGGGTGGGACACGTGGCTCAGTAGCAGATCACCTGCCTAACCAGTATAAAGCCCTGAGTTCAACCCCCAGTACTACAAGATAACAACAGTAATAGCAATACCAAGTTGGTTTGTTTGAGTCAATAAGTTGCTCTAAAAAAATCAATCAGAAGCCAGGCACTGGTGGCTCACGTCTGTAATACTAGCTACTCAGGAGGTTGAGATCTGAGGATTGTGGTTCAAAGCCAGGCCGGGCAGGAAAGTCCATGAGACTTATCTCCAATTAACCACCAGAAAACTGGAATGGCCCTGTGGCTCAAGTAGTAGAGTGCTCGCCTTGAGCTGAAGAGCTCAGGGACAGCACCCAGGCCCTAAATTCAAGCCCCATGACTGATCCCCTCTCCCCCCCAAAATCAACTCAGATTGGTGGTTTACTTTTAACTTTGAATTCCATTTCTTCTAAGACAGATCTATAGTTTGTGTTCATGACAAGTATCATAGTCTGAATAATATCCGTGTGCCCCCAAACCTGATATATTGAAATTCTGGATTTGAACTCAGGATCTTGTGCTTTAGTTATATTTGGATGGGGTTGGACTTTATACTTGAGCTAGGCTGGACTAAATTTCTCTTACTTATTCTTCCTGTTATCACTGAGATGACAAGCATACACCACTGTTTCTAGCCACTGGACAAGATAACACTCTCGAAAACCTTTTTTTTTTTGGCCTGACAAACCTCAAACTGCAATCCCCTGTGGATGTCTCCCAAGCAACCAGGTTTACAAAATTATGGTACCACATATGGCCATATGTTTTAACCTTTAACCATCAAGGTTATAACATTTGGAGGAGTCTTTGGAAGTATACAAGGTCATGAAGGTACTACCCTAAAGAATGGGATTAGTGTCCATGTCAAAGAGCCTCTAGGGGATTATGCTTGCTCCTTTATGAATTTATGTGAGGTCATATTCAGAAGTCATCATCTATGAAAAAACAAACCTTCAATAATCCTCTTCTATATCCTCCATCCTAGATGTCTCAGCCTCCACAACTATAAGAACTAAATTTCTATTGTGTATAAAGTACTCAGTTTATGAGATTTTGCTATAGCAACCTGGATGATTATAATAATATTGTTGATGTTCATTACAATGGTTGAACCAGATTATATAATAAATCATAGCACTTTCTATCATTTAATACTTTTAAAAAGATTTTTTTCTTTTTGTGATATTTAGGGCCTCATACTTGCTAGAAAGGCACTCTAACACTTAAGCCACAACCCCAATGGTGTTTTTTTTTTTTTTAAACATAATTGTGATTCCTTAACAGTTCTAGAAAGACTGTGAGAAAAAGCCTTAATGTACCCAAGTGCAGAGGTGTGTAGTCCATAATCTTACCTACTCAGGAAGCAGAGATCAGGACTGTGCTTCAGTGCCAGTCCAGGAAAAAAGTGTGTGAGACATCATCTCAATCACTAAAAAGTTGAGTATGATAGTATGAGTCTGTTATCACAGCTGTGTGGGAATTGTAAATAGAAGGATCGTGACCCAGGCTGACTGAGGCACAGAGGCAAGACCCTATTCTCATAAACAACCACAGTAGAAAGGACTGGAGACATGGCTCAAGTGGTAGAATATTTGCCTGGGTCAGCTTTGAGTTTTGATTCACAGATCTCAGCTTTCAGAGTAGCTAAAATTGTATATAGGCATGAGATACTAGCATTCGGCAAGATTCTTATCAGAAATCTTGGCAGCAAAATCTTGAAGAAAAAAAACAAAAGTTGTGGTCTATACCTCTAGATATAGTAAAAGTACTCTTCAAAGAAAAGGCAAGGAGCTAGGAAGGTGGCTCAGTGGTAGAGTGCTTGCCTTGTATGCATGTAGCCCTGGGTTTCATTACTCAGCACCACATAAGCAGAAAAAGCTGGAAGTGGTGCTGTGGCTCAAGGGGTAGAGTGCTAGCCTTGAGCTGAATTGCTGAGGAACAGCGCCCAGGTCCAGAGTTCAGGCCCATGACATACATACATACATACATACATACATACAGGCAAGCTGGGTGCTGGTGGCTCACACCTGTAATCCTAGCTACCTCGGGAGGATGAGATCTAAGGATCCTGCCAGCCCAGGCAGGAAAGTCCGTAAGACTCTCCAATTAAGCACCAGAAAACCAGAAGTGGGGCTGTGGCTCAAGTGGTAAGAGTTCTAGCCTTGAGCTGAAGAGCTGAGGGACAGCACCTAGGCCCAGAGTTCAGGCCCCATGACCAACCAAAAGAGAGAGAGAGAGAGAGAGAGAGAAACAGAGAGAGAGGAAAGGAGGGAGGGAAGGAAGAAAGCAAGGAACGAAGGAAAGAAAGTTACATAGATGCAAGCCATATTAATCATAGAAAAGTACTGGATACTAAATGAGTTATTAGCTCAACCATCTATATAAAAGTATTATACTGTTAAAAGGGAAAACATAAAAAAGAAAAGTTCTATAACCACACAAAAACATTTTTTCAGACTGAAAGACATACACATGTGCCAAACTGAAAGGCCCAAGTAATACCTGATTATTAAAGGACCCACAATTGGGCGCTGTTGGCTCTCGCCTGTAATCCTAGCTATTCAGGAGGCTGAGATCTGAGGATCACAGTTCAAAGCCAGTCCGGGCACGAAAGTCCATGACACTCTTATCTCCAAGAAACCACTAGAAAACCTGAAGTGGCGCTGTGGCTCAAGTGGTAGAGCACTCGCCTTGAGCTGAAGAGCACAGGGACAGCGCCCAAGCCCAGAGTTTAAGTCCCACAACTGACCAAAAAAAAAAGCTACAGTGCACTAGTGGCTCAAGTCTGTAATCCTAGATACTCAGGAGGCTGTGATTTGAAGATTGTGGTATTGTGGTTCAAAACCAGCCAGGGCAGGAAAGTCTGCGAGACTCTGATCTCCAATAAAACACCAGAAACTGAACGTGGCCCTGTGGCTCAAGTGGTAGAGCGCTCGCCTTGAGCTGAGGGACAGCGCCCAGGCCCAGAGTTCAAGCCCCATGACGAACAAAAAAAAAGTCTGAAACAAAATTACTTCCAACCTAGAAGTTTATTATTTTTTTCCTGTTATTGTAAAGGTGATATACAGAGAGGTTATAGTTACATAAGTCAGGTAATACGTACAATGTAGAGTTTGTTCCTTTTTTTTTGGTCTGTTGTAGGGCTTAAACCCAGGGCCTGGTTGCTATCCCTGAGCTCTTTTTGCTCAAGGTTAGCACTCTACCACTTTGAGCCACAGCTCTACTTATGGTTTTCTGGCACTGCATTATATTATAGGAGATGAAAATGGAAAAAAAAAAGTGAGAAAAATGATACTAGAAACAAGATATCACTGCTGTGTGCTAGACTCAAGAGGAAAATCAGTAAGAATATGTATTTTTAAAGAAATAAGGATTTTCATCATTAAAAACCCTGCTGCCATCACAGTAGGTTTTTTTTTTTCTTTAAGAAAAGCATGGACAAATTAACTTGGTTCAGATTGTCTATACCAAGAAAATTCTCTTTGGTTTGTTTTTTCAGTATGGGAGTTTGAACTCAAGGCCTCAGACTTGTTAGGCAGGCAGCACTACTATCTGAGCCATATTTCTAGTCTTACCAGGACTGTTTTAATAAGAGTTATTAAGCCAGGTGCCAGTGGTTCATGCCTTTAATTCTAGCCACTCTGAGGACAGAGATTTGAAGACAGCCCAGACAGGAAAGTCTCTGAGATTCTTATCTCCAATAAAACTATCAAAAAGCCAGAAACAGAGTTATGCCTCAAGTGGTAAGAGTGCTAGCCTTGAGTGAAAAAAGCTCAGGACAGCACCTAGGACCTGAGTTCAAGCCCCAGGACTCCACTGAAGTAAACAAAAAATTCAAATTTAAAAAAAAGAGCTATTCAAGTTTTTGTTCATATCTTCATATCCTACTATGTTTGAAAGAGAAAACATTTATCCTGTAGAAAAAAGTCTGTTTTGACTTTACAGCTACTATTTATCATGAAGGAGGGAAGAAGGGAAGGGGGAGGAAGAGAAGGGGGAGGAATGGAGGCAGGGAAGGAGGAAGGAAGGGAAAGTAGGAAAGGAGGGACCTTCTGACACTATTACTGTTGGATATTCCAGAGTTATATCAGTTTATTACAACCCCAAGGAACACCTTGAATTATACTTGAAAGCTTTCCCATTGATACCATCAGATGAGGCTTTATAAACCGGTAAAGCAAGTTTACAAGCTTTTCATCTCCTGTTACACTTCTCTTTACCTCAATCTACTAAGAATATAGTTGCCAATAATAAATCCAAAACTCAAGATAATGTTTAGGGGCAAGGAAAAGGCTGTTACTAGGGAAAAACATCCACATAGCTTTTTACTAGTTTCTAGTTCTTAATCAGGGTTGAAAGAACTTGAGCTTTCATTTTACTATTACTCACTCTATGCATTTCTCTTTAGGTTAAACACACTTCAATATAACAGAATCAGATAACTTTTGACCAGAAATTCTGCACCTAACAGATTCACTGTAGCACTATTTAAAACAGAAAAAAAAATGTTTGTCAAATATGATGGTACACCACAGTAATGCAGTCACTCAAGAGAGAGAGGCAGAAGGACTAAAATGCAAGTTCAAGGCCACTCTAGATGACTTAGTGAAAACTTTTCTGAAGAAATAAAACTTTAAAAGAACTGGAGTTGTAGCTCAGTGGTAAAGCACTTACCTAGGATACACAGGCCCTGGGTTCAATGCCCAGTACCTCAAAAAAGAAAAGAAAAGAAGAATGGAAGTAAGCTAAATTTCAGGTGTTTATAAAAATACCCCATTCTAAGGAATTTGATTAGAACAGAAAAAAAATGGACTGAAACAGCTGCTAAACAAAAAAAAATAAATTTATAAACAGTTGGACTTACCAGGAAACTCTGCCTTTCTGCTGCTTTGACCAAACTCTTGAAGTTGAGCTTGTTGATTTATTTGTTCTTTCTGTAAATTTTCATACCAATGAGTTACTTCAGCCCTAAGATCTGCTACCTGGTCACTAGGATACATTTCAATAGTCATCTGAAATATGAGATGCAATTGATTTAAAAATATTAAAACTAAATTAAAATTTCAAAACAAAAAAGCCCAACCACCAAATATCTGAAGTTGGAGATGTTAAAAATTTGGAAATGAATACTCCAATCACCTTATCAGGAAGTCCAGCTGGCTGGCATACAACCCTTAAGGGCAAAGACTGTTTGTCACTTAGCGCTTTCAAATGACTACTAATACCGGTGCCTTCTATTTGCCACTGTCTCAGATGATATGCAAACCTAAAACAAGACAAAAACACAAATAAAAAGCTATCGAAAATCACTTTAATGCTACAGCAGTTTTTAAAAGCTTTATAAGCTGGAAATGTTCCAATTTACTACCAATTTACAACATAAGCACTGTATTTTTATTTAGATTCATCATGTTGAAAAAATAAATATATAAACAACAGAGAGTGGTTTAAGAAATAGTCTCCAAAAAAAATTACCAGAAGGAAAATCCTACTAAGAAATATTAAGGGGAGAAATAGGAAGGGGTGATATTGAGATAGAAATACACTTTAGCAAGAAAATGAATAAAGTTTAAAGTTTGAGATCTGATTTCATTACTGGTAAAATTATAAAATGAACAAGGAAAATGTATTTCAAAGAAAAGAGGCATAAAGCATGATACTTGTTAATTTTTTTTTACTCTGCCATTGGTCTTAAAAGGTGAAGTTGAGGGAATATAACTAATCCAATATTCAGGTCCTATTATTAAGCAAAAATTGGTTATTTCAAGGCTAGAGTTGTTCTGGAATGTTTTAGGTCAATAATTTATTCTTTTTAAAAAATAATTTATTCTTGTTGAAAGCAGCAGGAAGACTATTACCAACATCATAGGACATTTAGCAGCATCTTTGTTTTCTACTCTTCAGACATTAGTAAACTCCTCTGCTCCAAAGTTGTGGTAACAGAAACTGGCTCCAGACATTAAGAAAAAACTGAGCAACTGTAATCTTAACTACTCTGGGAGCTGATACATGAGGATCACAGTTTGAAGTCAGCCCAGGCAGAAATAGCCGTGAGATTCTTATCTCCAATTAACCACTCAAAAACCAGAAATTTAGCTAAGGCTCAAATAGTACTCTCCTTGAGCAAAAAGAGCTCAGGGATAGCACCTAGGCCCTGAGTTTAAGACCCAGGAAGGATTACCAAAAAAAAAAAAAAAAGAAAGAAAGCCCAGTGTCAAGCCTATGCTAGCAATCCTAGCTACTCAGGAGGCTGAGCACCGAGGATAAAGGTGCAAAGCCAACCAGGGCAGAAAAGTCTGTGAAAGTCATCTCCATTAAACTCAAAAAAAGTGGAAGCTCCATAGCCCAGGGACTGTGCCCAGGCCCTGAGTTTAAGCCCTAAGACCATAACATGGAGGGAGGGAGAGGAAGAGGGAGACGGGGAGGGGGAGGGGGAGGGAGAGGGAGAGGGGGGAGAGAGAGAGACAGAAAGAGAGAGAAAGAGAGAGAAAATGACTTGAGTATAAAATGGGGACCGGGGCTGGGAAGGTGGCTCAGTGGTAGAGCGCTTGCCTTGTATGCATGAGGCCCTGGGTTCGATTCCTCAGCACCACATAAGCAAAAAGAAAAAAAGCCAGAAGTGGCGCTGTGGCTCAACTGGTAGAGTGCTAGCCTTGAGCTGAAGAGCTGAGGGACAGCGCCCAGGCCCAGAGTTCAGGCTCCAAGACCGAACCCAAAATAAAATAAAATAAAATGCAGACTGTCTGGGGAGGCAAGGGACCCAAAAAAAAAAAAAAAATGATGAGAAAAGTGAGTATAATCAAATTACTTTATACTGTATGTCAGGGAAAATAGGTTAAGCAGAGCTGTGGCTTAAGGGGAAGAACACCAATCAGGACAGAGCCCAAGCCCTGAATTCAAGTACCAGGAATGGTGCACACACACATAAAAGAGGCAGTTAAGAGATACAAAGAATAGCAGAGTGGTGAATTTGAACACAGTACATATATGTATGGAAATATCACAATGAAACACCCTCTGATAAAATTAACATATGCTAATAGAAAAGCTTTTTTGGGGTCGGTCTGGTCGTGGGGCCTGAACTCTGGGCCTGGGCACTGTCCCTCAGCTCTTCAGCTCAAGGCTAGCGCTCTACCACTTGAGCCACAGCACCACTTCCAGCTTTTTTTTCTTTTTGCTTATGTGGTGCTGAGGAATCAAACCCAGGGCCTCATGCATGC